AAGGTGTGAACTTCGAATTTCTCAACATATCCACCCTGTAGGCCTAATACGTTTCTGAAGGCTATGTTTCCATCTCTAACCCTACTGTAAGAATTCTGTGCTCTTTGATTTACAGTTTTACACCTTTCAAGATGGCGGTTTTGGCATTCTCCAGACACTCAAATCACATTCTTTTTAAAATGCTCTTTGAGTTTGGGAGTCAAAGTCTGAAGGAGCAAGATCTGGCTAGAAGGTAGATGGGGATAAGTAAGGTTTCCCAATGACAGTCTCCTAAGATAACCCCTGCTATCCTTGAAGAATGAGCAAGTAGATTATAAAGAAAAAAAATTCCTCTGTTCAACGTTCCTAGCTTCTTTCTCACCAAAGCAGTTTTCAGTTTCCTTTAAACATCAAAATAAGCCCTCAAGATTTTCCTGTGCCCTTCCAGAACAATCTATCAAAGTTATCCCTTCATAATCTTGAAAAAATAGTGCCCATAACCTTCAGAGAAGACTTCTCTGCTTTGAATTTAACTGACCCAACAGATCACCTGAGAAGGTACTTCTCTGATGGGACCTTTATTTGCAATGCACCATGAGACTAAAACGTGTGTTACTGAGAGAATTTGTCTGCAGCCATCCACAGACTGCAGTTGCGTTTAAACATGTTTTGTTTGGACTAAACCTGTGCATGTATAAACTAGAACGCTAGTAGTGAGGGTTTTTGTTTTGTTTGTTTTTTAACTTACCCTTCTATAGGCCTAGTCTCCCCATCCCTCTTAAACAGGCTTTAGTTTTCCCACCTCTTTTTGCCTGGCAGTTGTCTGGAGAGTGGATGTAAGTGTGGCTATTTCTTCCTTACTACCTCAGCTGCTCTATAAGATAGATTACTTTTCTCTGGTGCAAAGTCAATGCTACTTTTAGTATCTTGAGGTTCTGGGCTTAGATCAAGGTTCCAAAAATCTAGTGCCTGACATTTCCAAAGGCCAACTCCTTTTTATTACTTGAAAGATTTCTGTTTCAATAGCCTAGAAGACCTTGATCCTTCAGAAAAGCAAGGGACCCTGAGATTCTCCAGGAACTCCAGAAATCATTCCTTTTGTGTTCTTACTTGAAACTACTAAAAGGTGTGTCCTTTCAAAGAAGTTTCTGCTGCCAGACAGAGAGAGGTTCTGGCTCCATCCCTGCATCTAAAGTGGGATGCCTGTGGAAGCATTTTCTGTGTGGACAACATGCACAGAATGGAAAGAAAGGCCCTCTCACTGTTTCTCTCATCTCCAGTAGGCTGAGATAGGGGGTGGGATTTTCTGCACGTCTGCTTTACCTAGATGACGTACAGACCCATAGCCTACTCCCAGGGGGCTCTTGTGAGGTATTGTGACATTCCTGTTGAGAAACATGACCCTCCAACTGCAGCTGAGTCCTCAGGTTGGTGTCTGGTGTCAGTCCACCCAAATCTGCCTTGATCTCAAGACTGGCATTCCAATGACACTTGACTTCCTCCCAGTCCTTATCCAACTCGAGCTGCTGAAGCACAGCACATTTCCTCTCTCAGATCTGAGACTTTGTACATGCTGTACCTTTTGTTTCGAATACTCCAGTCAACCCTTCTCTGACCTGGCAGAAGAGGCAAAGCACCCCAGCTATATGCTCCTACAGTACCATGTCAATTTGCTTTCACAGGATTTAACACACTATATGAGAACTTGTCTTTCTTGTAAATCTAATCAATGCAGTGAAGAGATTCTGTCTTTTCACTATCAAATCCTTAGGGCCTGCTATGTAGTAAATAGTACTTCATAAATATTTGGTATGGTTAACAAAACCAGATATGTTCTCTTGCCCTAATGGAGCACACACATATTCATCATTTGCCTCACAAAAGACATAAACTGTGGCGTTACGCAGGAGAACATAATTTCTCACAGCACTGAAAACTGAGCTAAGAGAAGTAGAAAGAACACAAAATTAAAGATGAGAAGAGGGGACGAAAGAGCACTCCCCACAATAGCTGTGACAGGTGCTGAGGCCATGTGGGGACAGGGATGAGAATAACGTGTATTTTACCAAAGGGAGTGAGGTGAGAGTGGGAGAAACTGATGGGTCAGACTTCACTGAACTTTATGGGCCATGGTGAGCCTTTTAGATTTTAATCCTAATTATAATGGTAAATAACTGAAGCATTGCAAGCTGGTGGGTAGTAGTATGGATAGAATAGCTTGGGGAATCTGTGAGGGTTCAGAGGCGAGAGTGGGGGACAGGTGGTATCCAGGAAGGAGACTCCTGAACTTCTAGCTTGCTTAAGGGATAAAGGTGGTGTCCTTCGTTGAGATGAGTGAACAATGGCAGAGGACCTTGGGTTTCAAACATACTGAGTTTGAGTCCCTATATTAGAAATGCAATTTATGAGTCATCTGTGAAGAAGAGGGGCATGACTGAGATCACTTAGGGAGAAAATTGAAGTCGAAGGAAAAAAAGGCCTCAGGATCAAAGTTTCAGGAGAGCAAGCCTCCAATGGTTAGTTAGAGAGACTGAGAAGGGTCACAGCCAGAGTTGTTCAGTGTCGAGAAGTCGGTTTCAATTTCTAGTAACCCTATGTACAACAGAATGAAACACTGTCTAGCCCCGTGCCATTCTCACAATCATTGCTATATTTGAGCTCACTGTTGCAGCCACTGTGGCAGTCCCCCTTGTTGAGGGTCTTCCCCCAGCATGATGTTCTTCTCCAGGCATTGGTTCTTCCTGATAACATGTTCAGAAAAGTACACCAGACAAAGTCTTGCCATCGTCATTTCTAAAGAGCATTCTGGCTGTATACTGAGTTGTTTGGTCTTCTAGCAAGTTCATGGTATATCAATATTCTTTGCCAACACTGTAATTCAAAGGCATAAATTCTTCCTCATTCTTCCTTATTTGCTGTCTAGCTTTTGCATGCCTCTGAGGTGACTGAAAACACCCTGGCTCGAGTTAGATGCACTTTAGCCTTCAAAGTGATGTCTTTGCATTTGGACACTTTAAAGATATCCTTTGAAATACATTTTTGAGTTTTGACTGCTGCACTGATTGTGGATTTAAGCAAAATGAATTCCTTGACAACCTAAATATGTTCTCCATTTATCATGATGTTGCTTACTGGACCGGCTGTGTGAGGATTTTTTATTATACCTCACGATCGTCATCAGTTAAGTGCTTCAAGTCCTTTTCACTTTCCATAAGCAAGGCTGTGCCATCTACATATTGCAGGGTGTTAACAAAGCTTCCTTCAATTCTGTTGCCACATTTCTTCATAGAGTCCATCTTATAAAATTATTTGTTCAAATATGGTGAAAATATACAATACTGATGCAGACCTTTCCAGATTTTAAACCAGGCAGTATCCCCTAGCTCTGCTTTTGGTCTATTGTAATAGGCTCCACATATGCACAATTAAGTGTTTTGGATTTCTGTTATCCATCATTTAGTATGATCCACAAAGTTGAATGCTTTTGCATAGGCAATAAGAAATGGGTAGACAACTAAAGAAGTAGATGGGGATGATTTCTAGGTCACAGAAACAAAGGAAGTATTAGTTGATAAAGGAGGTAGTAGTCAAGAGAGAAGACTGATAGTATAAGGTTCTTGGGAACGTCAGAGGAGATGGGATCAGAGGCACAAGTGGAAGAAGACTTGAGGAGGAATACATATTCTATTAATACAAGGAGCGGAGGAGGCTACTGAAAGGCTGACAGTTCAAACCCACCCAGAGGCACGTTGGTAGACGAGGCTGGTGATCTGCTCCCCAAAAGTCATAGGAAACCATATACAGCCGTTCTACTCTGCACACACAGGGCTGCCATGAGTCAGAATTGATTTGATGGCTATTACCCCCAACAGTGGGAAGATGAGGCAGTTCTATCTTCTCTAAGAAGAGGTGAGGATTTTGCTGAGAGGGAGGGGACAAAGTGGGGGTTGATAGTTTAAAAGCAGAGTGACAGATTTGATCACAGAAACATAAGAAAATGGTTGGGCCATGCTGAGGAACTAAATGAAGTAGGTCATCATGAATTTAAAGTGGAATCACTCTGTACTTTTATGTGTTCTTTTCTAACTGCTTGCTGCTCTACACACACAGAAGACACAGTTAGATGAATTAACAAATGATGCCCTAGACAGACAAATAATAGAAGTCACAGTAACTTGATAACTTTAAGGAAGAGAAGCAAAGATGCTGCTAAGATCAGGACCCCACTCCTTTTAATGAACTTCAAACAGCACCCTCACCCCTAGCCCACTGCTAACCTTTAGTAGAGCTGGAGGCGGAAGCAGGCCGAGAGGATCGTTTACGGTGTCCATTTTCTACACTTTCAGAAGCCACAGTTGACTCTTCAGTTCGTGAGTTTCTTCGGCTTGGGGTTTTGGACTTTTCAGCTATCTCTTTGGGCTCACTGATGACAAAAAAGAAGCACAAGTTTCCAAGGAGGCGATTCAGATAACACAAAAGAGGAGCTCTTCAGATAGGGTTTCACTCATAAAGCAGGAGAAAATACATGGAAAAGGAATATCCCCAACACCCCCACCCGACCCTCAAGTCATTCTGGGGAGAAAATTCTCAATTCCATCCTGGGACAATGAGTACAATTACTTTTTAGAATACTGAGAATGTTAAAGTGTGTTTAACCTGTTATATCAATAAAAACAAAATACTAAAGTGTGATGCTGTTGAAATGGTTGGAAAACTGGCAAAAGGCATAAAAACTTGGAATAAAAAAATCCCTCACTCATTATCACAAGCTAATAAATATGCCCCTTTTGAAATGAAAAGATTGAGGACTTTGTAATTTTTTTACAAGCTTTTATTTTGTCTTAATAAACAATGTAAGCTGACGAGAGAACGTAAGAAAAGTTGCCAGCTTATGCACAACGGATGTACACACGAAGAGCCTGGCCATTCTTAAGTTAAGCCGTCAAAGAACTGTCAAGAGTGCTTGGCAGTGAGGAACAGTGAAACGATTCTTCCTTTAAACCGCTGATTTTTCTCCCCGAAAGGAGTGCACCGTTCCTGGAAGTACTGCAATGCCAGGTCGATATGTGGAGTGGACGGAGCAATGTCTTATTCCATCTCCTAATCCCCAAAATCCATTTACTATATTGTCCTAGGATATAGGATGTATCAGATATTAAACTGATAAGAACAGATACTAGAACTTTGTAATTTTTAAAAGATTTGTGAAAAGAATATTTAATACCAGTTGTTTAAAAATTGCTACTAACTCTAAAATAGGATCTAAAAAGAATGTATCTAAAACTTCGGATTTCACTAACATATACTCTTATGCACCATCACATTATCTGACATCTTGCATTTACGACAACAGTCAAAATCTATTATCTTACTATTTTTGCATTAATGACATACACCTGGCAGCAACAGATGATAAAGTGCTAGAAGAGAATAATGCTGGCTGTGATGGTTAAGGTTATTTGTCAATGTGAGTAGGCCAGGATTCCCAGTGGTTTGGCAGTTATGTAATGATATGATATAGTCATCTTCCACTTTCACCTAAGGCTGATTTTCACATAACGATTTAATATTTGGAACTTAACCATGTTAATCAGTGGGAAGCAAGTATATTGCCACTTACTCTGCATCTTGTACACCAGGTAATGGCATATTACAGGTCACATTGTGGGAGAATATACATGGGAATAGATTCACAATACACTCCCAGGCAATCCTGTTTTTACTGGAGCCCTGGTGGTGGTATGGTTATGTTTCGGGCTGTTAACCGCAAGGTCATCAGTTTGAAACCACAAGCTACTTCTGGGGAGAAAGATGAGGCTTTCTACTTCCACAGATTGTCTCGGAAACCCATAGGGCAGTCCTACCCTGTCCTATAGGTCACCACGAGTGGGGAACTGACTCCCATGGCAGTGAACAGTTTTTGTTTGCTTGGTCCTACCGATTTTAGTATGTAAAGATTTAAAATGGTTAATATTCCATGTTATTAACCCTCAGTTACGAACTGAGGGCATAGAAACATTTTCATACAATGCTAATAGAACATAAATAGTGTAATCTAGTGGTCCTCAACTGGGACCACAGTTATGTCCCCTTGGGGCATTTAGCAATGTTTGAAGATACTTTGTTACATGATTAGGGGTGGAGGGAGGTACTACTGGCATCTAGTAGGCATGCCACCAAATATCCTAATGTATAAGAAAGCCCTTACAACACGGAATTTTCTGGCCCAAGTGAGAATAATGCTGAGACTGAGAAATTCTGGTATAAACCCTCTGACTCAAAAATTTCAATGTGCTTCAGGAAATATTTTTACAGAAATATAATTTCAAGAAGAGGAAAGCATTTTATTTATACTAGTGAAAATAGAACACCTAAATGCCTAATGATAATGGATTAACTAAATCATGGCACTCCATATGCGGTCATGAAAAATCACGTAATAACACTGTTCATGATACATTATTAAATGGAAAAAGAATTTGCAAATGGCATAAACAGTCTAATCCTATTTTCACAATAATGTCATAATATACCAAATGTATATATAACCATATATGAACGTATGAGATATGAAATATGTAAGCGGGAGCTTCAATAATGAGGTAGCTTCCTAAAGGCCACAGACACAAAATCTATCTTTCTTCCATGAACTTTTTGAAGACACCTTGAATATAAACGCGATATTGTATCTACATCATAAACACATATTTTGAGAAGAGGACTAGAAGATGAACTAAAACATACACAATGTATACTGGCTCGGCATAAGAGTATGGTTTACTGTTAACCTATTTTCCTCTTTGTGCTTCTGTGAATTTCAAGTTTTCTTTAATAAATTTCTTACAACTTTCATGATCAAAAAAACCCCTGGGAAGGAAAAAAAAGAAGCTGACTAAATTTGTTTGCAAGGAACCAAAATAATAGGAAGGGGGAAATTTTGCCCAAAGAGTTGCTTCTTCTTATTAGTCTTTCATGACCTCACTCCCCAACTAGAGTTCTTTTTAAAAAATCAAATCCATTATATGATTAAACAACTTGACTGATTCTACCATCAAATGGTAAATTCCTCTACCATTCATGTTTGTGTGTATTTGAAATGGATTTGTCACTAAAGACTTCAAATCCATTTCAGATTTATTTATTTATGTATTTACTTATTTATTATTAGTTAGTTACCTAGATCAATATGAGAAACTGGAGGGATCCACCATTCATTCTTACTGGAAGGCCCCTTCCATTATGGCTGGAAACTTGGCCACTCTGTTCACTTTGACCCTTGCTTTAAGGATAACATTTGACTCACACATATGTATACGAAGCTGGAGCTAGGATGGAATTGCGAGTCAAGGAGGTTTACTCCTCTTCTTAGATGTGGTAAGGATATCTTTCTGGCTGGGAGCCCAGAAAATTGTCAAAGTCTCTGAAGAAGGAAGATGCCTCTTTCTCCTAATAAAATAATCTCCTTCTGGTGTATGGCCAGTGTGTAGGCAGCTATGGGAACAAATACACAAACAGGATTTCTGGGCCAGTTAGCTGCTTTCTTTAGCCACATAGTTGGCATATGCTTGAGAAATGTAAATGAATTAAAGTATTGGTACTCTACAAACCAAACCAAACAGGTACAGCGGTGTAGAAAGAACCATCAGTTTGGAGTCAGAATAAGAAGGGGTCAAGTCTTGCCATGCATTAATTGCCCAAGATATTTAACTCTCACTAAAGGTTCAACCTCTTGACCTACAAATCCCCATCTTCTCTGCTATAATATAGAGGTTAAGAAGTTAGGGCTCTGGAGTCAGAAGGTGTGTGCTTAAATTCCATCTTGAGCATTTACTAAACCTTAGATTCCTCACTTGTAACACAGAATTTAATTTCCTTATAGACTGGGTGAACACTAAAGAAATAATATACCAGGGAACTCAAAGCTCACTGGGTGGCACACAATAACCCTCCAATAAAGGTTGGCAGTTATTAGTACCTCACAGAGTTAATGATTAAACAAACAAGCAAAAATGATTGTAAAGGTTGTTGAAACTAAGTTGACATTGTAGTTCCTATTGCCACTGTGTCGATTCCAACTCATGGTGATTCCCTATGTAGAGTGGAACTGGTCCTTAGTTTTCAAGACCTTTGCAAGCAGATAGCCAGGCCTGTGTTGCCAGATGCCTCTGGGTGTGTTTGAATCGCTGTTTCAGTGAGCAGTGAGCACTGCACTGTTTGTACTACCCAGGAACTCCTAAGCTGATACACAACTATGAAATTTTTTTTCAAATGTTACCTAGTGCATTTCTACATTAAAAAAGGAATGACTTTTAGAAAATGATGCTACTCTTCTCCATGGATTTCATTTTGTTAGGGTATGTGAGGCAATACAGAGTAACAGAAGAACATAGGTTTGGGGTGAGACCTTGCCTGGCTTTCTCTTTCACCTGAGCTCATGTGTAAAATGGGAGTGAAACAGCTACATTTTAGAAGGTAGTTACAAGGACCATTATTAATGACATCGATAATAAGTCCATTTACTAAGTACTTATTATTTACTCACTATGGTGAGGGTCGAACATGTTATCTCACTCAGTTTTCCACAACTATGAAAGGTAGAAATTTATCCACCAGGTTTTAGTAAAGAAAAATCTTACCTCCAGAGAGTTAGGACTCATGATAGCTCCCTAGTTTAGCAGGAAAAACAGACTAGTGAAAGAGTGAAGGAAAAGGACAAAGTGAGGAGAGGTTTAAAGGCTCAGAAAGCTGATACCCATCAAAGAGGCTTATATTGTATTCATGCTGAGTATGCAGGAACAATCATCTTACCTTTGCCCAGAGACTATGGCAGCATTTGCCTCAAGTTCTGTAAAAAATACAAAGGGCAAAAATGAGACATGGCAGCTGCTGGTGTACATGTCCACAGAGAAAGCTGGGTGTCTACGAGAATTCTGAATGCCCTACTGAAGTGTCTCAGTACACGTCAGGGTTCTCATCCTACACTGAGAGACCTAGTTGGCACAGACATACCTTGGTTTGTCTGGGGCACACGACACTTGGTCTATTTTTATTTCTAAGCCACGTTGTGAAATAATCTTATCTGGATCAATAAAGCTAACCTCACTCTGCTTGGATCATATTTCACCAGTGACAACTAGGTTAGTAAAATAAACCTCTTCCTCAAGTAGAAAGTGTATATTCATTCTTTTTTTTTCATGGTAGCATGCTCACCTCAGCCTCACTTGGTGGTCCATGTGGACAGGGAGAGATAGTTATTGCTAACCAAGGCTTTTATATACTTTTTTCCTTTTTTAAAAAAATGTAATTGTATTGGGGGTCTTATAACAATGTATACAACAACTTTTATCACGCATATTTGTACATATGTTGCCATCATTATTTTCTAAACATTTACTTTTTCTTTTAAAATTATTTTATTGAGGGTTCATACAATTCTTATCACAGTCCATACATACATCCATTGAGTCAAGCACATATGTACATTTGTTGCCCTCATCAATCTATATTCATTCTTAAAACATGTCCTCCCTATTATTTTTTTCCCTAAAGACAGCAATCTTCAAGTTATGTCCTGAATATATATTAAGGATGCATTCTACTCCAATCTCTCTTGAGTTTGAGAGGGGAAAAAGCTTAGCTTTGAGGTACTCTTTCTAGATTCTACCATGTGCTTCTCTTCCTCGACTTCCTAATGTTTTCCCTAAGAAAGAAAAAACCCAAGGATTTGTAAAGTAGGGTTTTGCACAAATGAGCACTATGGGTTTACTAAGCACTTCTCAGCACTAGCAGAAAAGCATCTTCTCCACTATCTGCTTAGGCAGTTCCATCTTTTACAACATAATAAAATGTGGATAGCACCAGGTGGTAGTGCTCTCTCTTGCCTCTGATCTCCCAATGGTTATATCCTTGTCCCACTTCCAGGCACACGGCACCTCATACAAGGTTAAGACCATGTACATGGCTAAATCACCCTACTATATTACATATGTAGGGGGTAGTGAAAGCAGAGCAACTGGGTCCTAATCTTGACCCTACTGTTTATCATTAGTATCCTTATTGCCTGGGCAAATGACCTGGCCTCTGTACTTAATGCCTCATCTGAAAAATGGAGATTATCTCTTTATCTACTTCAAAATTAAGATTTAACAAAATAATGCACATCAAATTTTAGTACAGTACCTGGCATTTGATAATCAGCCTTTTGAAGCAAGCCCCCACCCCCATTTATTTATTTATTTTTATCAAAAGATCATTTTATTGGGGGCTCTTACAACTTTTATAACAATCCATACCACAATTGTATCGAGCATATTTGTACATACATTGCCATCATTCTTTTCTAAACATTTACTTTCTATTAAGCCCTTGGTATCAGCCCCCCCTCCACCCCCGCCCCTTGTGACTCCTTGATAAATTATTATTTTCATATCTACACCAACTGCTGCCTCCTTTCCCCCCCCTGGCTTCTGTTGCTTGTCCCCCTAGAGGGGTGTGTGTGGTTATGTGTCCATCATTGAAATCGGTTCCCCCTTCCTCCTTTTCTCCACCTACCTTCCATCTACCCTTCTGGTTGAAACAGCCTTTTATAGGAGGAGGTTGGACACTCTGACTTCAGTGCAAGATGTTGGCAAAAGGGAATCCTTATCCCCCCACAGAAGGGTTAAAAGGAAGGGATGATTCAACCAAGGTGTAGTATAGCAACGACAAATCACACACCATTCCTCTAGTTCTTGAACATTTCCTCTCTCCCACTACCATGACCCAGTTCTACCTTACAAATCTGGCTAGACTGGAGAACACACACTGGTACAGATAAGAGCTCTGGACACATGGAATTCAGGAGAAATAAAACCCTCAGGGGTGAAGGGAGATGTCGGACAGTGTAAGATACTAAATAATAACAATGTATAAATTGATCAAGGATTTACAGTGGTGGGAGGTGGGAGGGGAAAAAAGAGGAGCTTATACTAAGGGCTCAAGTAGAAAATGTTTTGGCAATGAAGATGGCAACATATGTACAAATATACTTGATACAATTGATGTATGGAATGTTCTAAGAGCTGTGAGAGGCCCCAATAAAATGATTTAAGAAAAAAGGAAATCCTGGCTAATTTGGTGTTTAACATCTTGTATCTAACCCAGATAGTCGGGGAACTGCTCCATAAGAAAGAGATGCCAACACACTGAGCCTCTGTTCGCTTGCTGGCTAGGCTGGACCATATAAACTTGGGGAATGTGTGCACAACACCAATTTGGCTCACGTCAGAAGAGGAGAATCACCTTGATCTGTTTGTTTCTGGGAAACAAGACAAAATTCTATGATTTTAAGAATGTTAACACCATCACTGCTAGCTCATGTTAAGTGAAGATTCAGGGGTTGGTAAAGGTCAATAGTGGCTTTGTGTGTATTTCAAGGGCATTTATTTAAACCAAGCATTTAAAAGGAACAAAATGATTATTTGGTCAATTACTATGAAAGGAAGATACATAACAAGGTAAAGCTCATTTTCTGGAGTAAAATGTTGGTGCAGAAATTGGAATTTCCGCCCTCCTTTTTGGAGCACCTTTTCTCAGCAAAAATGACTTTTACTAGCCCTTCTCAGAAGAACCTACTTGAGCCCACCCCTTCCAAATGTCTAGCACAATGCTAAGCATCATATGAGCAACGAGTTAGCAAAGAAGTAACTATGTGGTGGAAGTATTTTTTTCCTCAGACACAGTTTTTCATAGCTTGGATTTACCCAGAGGGTGTTGTATAAAGTATTCTCCATCACATAGGGCAAAGCATCCTGAAGCATGCTGTAAAATAATCACAAGTCACACTTTACTTTGACTGGCTTGGATTCACAAAATTAAACATGGTTGCACTGTTGATTTTTCTACAAATTTTGTTACATGTGTGAATTGTGTTTCTAATGAGGGTCTAACCTACTAGTGGGAAGCACTCATACCTTCAATGACCTCTAACAACAAAAAAGCCAGGTAAGAACAAATTGAATCTTAATCTCATATACTGCTCTGTATCAGCTGTCTGGTCTAGGAAGGCAGGAACAATGCTGTCACTGCCATCAAGCCCTTTATGCTTTCACAGCTGACCTGGCACCCATAGCAGTATTTGTCAGAGTGCCACAGCTCCTTCCAGAAACAGCATCCTCAGTGTTATTTACAATGCCTTGGTCACGAGGAGAAGCTTAATGCCATCCAAGATGACAGAAATGACTTGGGAGAGCTGAACAAGCTTCCACTCCTGTCATGAAAATGCAATTACTACCTCACTGCATCAATGCCTGCCACTCCAGTGAGTTACCATATGCCAGCCAGTTAGCCCCAGCCTTGGCTTCCAGGGCCATGGCATGGGGAAAACTGCCATGGAAACTGCCCATGGATGGGTGGCAAACTGACAATGGGCAATTAGATACCCTTTTTGAGTTCCCTGAAACCGGGGAACACCTAAGAGAGTAAGCTGGTCAAGGTAAACAACCTCAAATAGTATTGCACAAGTCCTGCCACACAACCAAAGCTGCTCGGAAGCAAATAGATGAGAATTCCAGTCACTGCCCAGCATGAGAACATGTGACAGGAAGACAGCAGCAGTTAATTCACACGCAACTCATTCTGCTTCCAGAAGTCTTTCCAAAATGTCTTACCTGATCTAGCAACTGACCCCTGCAGCGCTGTGGCTGGAGTTTCCTTTGGGATTAAACTCTGTGAAGAGGCTAAAGAAAAACAACAACAACAACAACAAAAACAAAAACAAAAAAACAACAGGCCTTTTACTTTCCTTTCTAAACAAAACAGAAAATGCTAATTAAATTAAAAGCTAAGTAACTGGGGAAATGTTCTATCTCTTACATAAAGGGTAATACTTGAAGTTGGACTTGAAATTATATTTCAAAACCTACATTTAAAAATTAATGTATGCAACACTCAATAACAAAAACTAGCAGTTAGGGGTATTTGTTTTCCTTTATCATGTACAAATGTCATGGAACGAGGTGGCCAGAAGGATATCACACATATTCTTTTGTTTCAGTGTCAAGTTCTGCCCAATACTCTAAAGAATATACAACACACCTTAGCAGACAAGCCCAAACCACCTTCAGAGGGATCACTATACCATTTACCTAAGCATCTAAGTTTTATTCTCTCACTTCTGTAAGGTTACACTTGATTGCTACTTACTTATCTAACAGTTACTAAGAACGTACGAGGGGCAAGGCACTATGCCAAGCACTCCTGCCCTCTTTGGCCATCAGGAGCTCCATCTAGTAGTGAAGGTAAAAGTGCGTACAGCATACTGGCATGCACTGTGCTGTCAAATGGTCATATGAAGGGGACACAATAAGGTATAGAATTCTACTAGAGTCCAAAAGAAGGGAGATCAATTCTAGACTGAGAAATGTGAAGGCACTTTAATGGAAGAAACATCAGAATTGGGCTTTGAAGGGCATAGAGAACTTAAATCCTTGAAGAGGAACGGAGTTGAATACACAACTCAACCTCCCTGCATTATGTAGGAGATTTAAAAAATGGCAGATGTACCACAGTCAATTGAGAGCACATCCTCCCATCTGGACACTTCAGCCTAGACAAATCTTCATCGTGAGTAAACTTTTCAACGATAAACTTTATCCTCTTGTAAAAACGGAATTTTATAAATGTCTTTCCTGACCTAGTAAAGCAGTCAATGAGGAATTCATGCAGAGAATTGATTTGGGGAGCTTAAAATTGTACTGTGGTTTAAAATAAGCTTAAAATTACACTGAGGCTTCTACTATTACCTTCAGTTGTGGTTCTTCACATTTTCAAGTTAAAAGTATAGAAGACTCATGAGAAAGCATAGAAGACACTATAAGCAAAACTGGCTTTACTAAAATTGAGAAATTTGTAACACCTGGTTTCATCTCAAGACTCACATCTTTCTCTAGTACTCTGTTTGATCCAGATTACAGTATTTTTTAATCACTTTATCATTAACCTGTTACTTGAGGGAAAAGTTCCCTGAAGAGAAGTAGAAATGGAAACATTTAATATTGGAGAATATATTTAAGTTACACTAGGTTTCTTTTTCATTCTTAGGGCTCACTGGTATCAGTAAAGCTAGAATCAGAAACACACTGCTGTAACTGCCTGCATCAAGTCTTTGCCTCCTGCCAGGGCATGAACTTGAGGTGAGGTGGCACAGTGGACAAGAGGACTTTACCTTTCTAGAGCCGTGTACTGGCTCTGTGCGCTCTCAGTTTAATCCTTGTATACATTCTAGGAGGTAGGGACTACAATCTCCATTTTACAGATGAAGTATATAGTGAAAGGGAGGTTAAGGAACTTCTCCAACTGCAACTGGTAACCAATGCAGCTAGAATTTGAGGTCTGACCTTGTGTCACAAGACTGAGGCTTGTGTCCTCAGTACTGGACACCTGTCGTACTTCGGCTGCACACACAAGCCAGGCACCACTAGCTAGTTGGCTCAGGGTATAGTGATGGTCCTTTTCAGGTCTGAAGAGTGGGGAATAGTCTCTGCACCACCGAGACCCCACAGAAGAAATGTGTAAGGGAGGGAAGGATGGACTAGGGTTGTAAGGACACTCTATGCTTCCACCATCAACCCACCGTAACTGCACACAAGAAATAACTTAAACTTCACATACATGAACAGAAAGGATCAATTTACAAAGACTGCATCAAAAGTAACTCAATTCTTAAAAAAAATTATTTATTGAACGTTCCTATGTTCTAGGTCCTATGCTAAACATGTTACATATACTACGACATTATATTCTTACAACTACTATTGTCCTCATATCACAAAGGCGTGGTCAAGTAACCTGTCTAAGCCCATGAAGTTTGGAGTGGTCAAGTAACCTGTCTAAACCCATGTAGCTGGTAAATGTTGTGATAAATGTTGGCGCTGTACTATCCACCCAAACCTACGTGATGCTTCACCACTCCACTCCTGTCTGTTATGAAGCCTGGTCTTCTGGGATGTTCTCTGCTTGGGTAACCCAGAGAGATAGAGCATTGTCTCTGCGATGGCAGACGATGGGGATGCATCTATAACCCTGTTTTGAGACAGACGAGGAAACAGTCTTCCTGCTGGTCACAGGAGAACCTGCAGAAGTAGTCACTCATCTTTAAGAGAGAATGTCATACTGGAGGTTCACAGTACAGATTTTGAAAAAAATGTTAAACTTCTCTAAACTTCCATTTTCTCATCGATAGCATGGGGTTAAGGCTGCCTGACATAGCTGGTAAGATGATGTTGAGATAATGTATGTAAAAATGCTTTCTTGTAAAGAAAGTTTTTTATTATACATATGAAAGATGTACCATCATCTCGGGTGCTGATAGAGAACCATGTTGAAGCATGTAAATTTCACATGGGATTTGAAAGTGTGTTTTCTGACTCATTATCAACAAATAAAAATACCACCACTATCATTTCGCGCATTCTTTTTTTCTCAAAGTAGAAAAGGAGTCATGCTTTCTTTTGTATAGGTCAACAAACTCTGACATGAGGAGAAGATACGCCAGGTCCCGAGTACATACCTATGCTGGTTAGAAGCTCTGGATGGGATCCCACCTTCTCCTCCACTAGGCCACCGGCAAGTGGCTCAGATGCTAGGCCACCATGATTGTTTTTTGTGGTCGGCGCCGTGGAGATGAGCTCAGAAGGTACCAGAGTGGTAACTATTGAACGTACATTGGTGGGGAGAGCACCACTCGGTAAGCTGGGTCCTGTTGAGGCTGAGCCCGTGCCTACAGGGCTAGAAGTCATTTTTAGCAGAGTGGGTGCTGGGGGTGTTGGGGTTTTACTATCCAGCTCTGTGGGTAACTGCTCTGTTCCCATGAGCCCTGGGGCGGTGGGCTCTAGCCCTTGGCCTTCAGTCTCTCCATCTGTACCATATTGCTCATCGCCTTTCTCAAGAGAGCCTGTGACTTTCTTACATGCCTTGGTCAGTAAAATTTGGCCAATTTTGTCCACCTTTCCTTTGCCCTTACTAGATGAGACTGGGCTTCGCCGGTTGCCAGAGGAACCTGGACTATTGGTCAAAAGGGGAGAAACCATTGTGGTTGATTGGGAAGCGGGCAGAGTGTTCTGATCTGTTGAAGTCATCTGAGGACTAGCCTCATCTGGATTCAATTCTTTCACTTGCTGGACAGGGAGATGAGGAGGGGCAACTGGGGAAGTTGTACAGGGAGGAGAAGGAAGCTGAACAGGGGTGGCTCGTGAGTTAAGAACCAAGGGTCGACCTGTCTGTATGTTAGCAGCAGGGCTACTGGAGGGAACATTAGGTGGTACAGGAGCAGAAGAAAACTTAATGTTCTGAGGTATGTGTAAAGGGCCAACAACTGCAACAGAGGGTGGCATCAAACCAGAGTTGGGTGTTAGTGGAGCTGCAGGAATTGTGCTTGGCTGTGATCCTTTCATAACCTGAATTATTGAGGATGAATTGATAAAGACAGGTGTAATGAACTGAGGCCGGGCATTAGACTGAGAAGCTGACTGTCCCTCAGATACCATAACTTTGCTACCCACATTGGGCATTGTGACAACTGTTGACATTATTGCAGACTGCAGGTGAGTTGGCAGAGCTGCTGATGTGTTAGCTGAAGTTGTGATGGGATTGGAAGTGACAAAAACAGTTATCTGGTTTGGGGGCAAGGGAGTGGAGATGGAGGAAGAGCTGACAGGCCTTGACATTACTGGAGGGATGCTTGGTGCAACATTAGAACTGATTTCACTCAGTTCTGGATGCACCTGGGTTGAACACGGCTCATTACTATGAGGTAAATTTAGGGAATTAGAGGGTTCTTTAGAAGATGGATCCTGCAGTGTGGGAATGGCAGGTACTTTTTTGAGGTCTTCCCCAGAAACTCCTGGATGTGTTACTTCCAGATCTGTAACCCCGGGAGGCTTAATGGTCACATTAGGAGCTCCAGAGTTGTCAAGAAGTTGACTTAATGACGTTGGTGCTTCCCTCATAGCAGGAGACACCAAATTTTTGTTCTCTTCGACACTGGGAAGCTTGTTAGGATCCGAAGGTTGCCCATCCTTTTTAGATTGATCTTCAGGGACAACCATTTTAACTTCTTGGGTAGGGACTGCTTTTAGCTCAGTATGTACCTGTTCCTTCCTACCCTGGGAATTCTGGCAATCACTGTCTTGAAGCATCGTCAAGCTCTCCTTCTTATCCTCAAGAACAGCCCCAACTGCAGCCACAGGCATGATGGGATTCTGAGGAGTCAGCCCGCTATTGCTAGGAAAGCTCCCAGGCACAGGGGGGTTGGCCAAAGGAGGGGGACTGACCAGCATATTCCTTGACAACTCCACATTCTGCAAAAGGGCTGCATTCGTTTGAGAGGTCAGAGTCAGTTTGGGGGTTTTTGAATTTTGCCTGCCAGGACTTGGGGTGGTTTTCCTACTGGAACCAGGACTAGACCTACGACTGTTGCTCGGACTTGCCCGTTTTGTTCCTCCAGAGTTAGACTGCTTTCCAGAATTCATCACCACAGAATCTAACTTGTGAGTTTGCGGGGCAGTAAAATTGGAAGGATTATTCATGGCAAGATTTGAAGGTGCCTGCCCAATGGCCTTCAAAGTTGTTGGGTTTAGGCCCTGTTGATCAAAGCCCCTGTTTAAATTTGGCCTAGGGGGTAAAGGAATATTAATTTGTGGGGGAAAGAGTCCTGCTATGGAGGCATTGAGTCTTTCTGGTGACAGACTGATTTCAGAAGGCTCTGTGCTGGGAGGGCGGTTGTTGGGAGTCTGAGGGTAATAGGGTCTGGGGCTGGCTCTGTTTGGTGTTTTAGGTCTAGATGTTTGTGTTGGAGCAGCAACATTTGGAAAGTGGTGGCCATGAGAGCTGGGCAGGGAATTTACAGGAGGTTGCTGGGGAGTTGCACCTTGAGTTGCTGAAAGGGGTGATGGTCCAGGTTTTGGCCCTGCCATCATTAATTGATTCTGGGAAACTACTAAATGTGAAGGCATGTTATTTGGGCCTCCTGAGACAGATGGTACTTCATTGGTACTTGCTTCGGATAGCGAGGGCACCTCTCCAAGTGGTGAGCTGGAAGGATTTTGTGGGGTCTCCTGGTATACCATTTTCCTTGAATTGCTTCCCAAAGGAGTATTCACAGGCATTGGCATTCTTTGTTTATCAGGTGATGGTGGCACAGAGGCAGGACCTTGCAAGCTGACCATGACAGGTACATTTCCACTCTGTTGCATGGGCATCCTCTGGGAGTCTGGGTTCAGAGGGCCTCGTGGAGGGTGGACATTTTGGGAGACTGGAAGTCTAACTGCTTTGGGATCCTGCTGCATCATTAGCATCATCATCATTTGTTGCTGCTGCTGCTGCTGCTGCTGCTGCTGCTGCGACTGTGGCTGGCTGGGAGGAGGTGGTGGCTGCTGCTGTTGCTGCTGAGGCAGTTGTGGCTGTGGCTGTGGCTGCTGCTGTGGTGGCTGTGGTGGGGGTGCCACATGCTGCATGAGTTGAGGAGGCATCTGCTGAAGTGGCCTCTGTTCAACTGGTTGAGAAGGATAACCTAAAACAAGTCCCCAAAATCAGGGAAGTTAGATTTTCAGCATGAAAAGCTTTGCAACCTTTTGCATATAGCCAAGTAATATTCATCTAGGCTGCACAGCTGTGCACCAACAGCTCAGACATGCCTTTCCCAGGGGCAGGGGAGGCAGCCTGTCTTTATTCTACATAAGCAAAGGGGCATGCAGCTCAAGGAAGCAAAAAGCAAAGCATCAAAAACCTGGAGCTCCTCGGTCTTCAGGGCCTATGAATGAAGCTCATTGTACTAAGACTGGTAGATACTCTGTGCTATGTGTTGAAAGTGGCCAAGTCTACACCAGCCCAAACTCCATCAACAGCAAGAAGCTGACCACCCAGCATTGGGTCTCCTGTAGACGTAATATTTCAATGGATTTGTTAATGAAGTGAAGCACTCAAGATGCAATTTTTTCTGTTAGCAAAGGGCTGCCTTTTTTTTAAGGTTTGATTTGTTGACTACACCAGCACTTTAGGTAGCCTGTTTTATTCATTCAACTGAAGTAAAATATAAAATTCTGTGATTCACTTCCCAAAGAAAGAGATTTAAAATTACTCAATCCACTGGATCCACACAATATGCTGCATCCTTTCTTGGCTTAATTCTTTGAGGAAATCCAAGTGAATTAAACTACCCATATGACATAAATTAGTTTAATGAATAGTAAGTGCAACCAGAAGCTGATATGCAAATTGGGAGGAAAACTGTGAGCCCTGTCATATCGATTACATAAAAAAATACTTATTTCCATTTACTTTTACCATGTAACATTCTGTTTGGAGAAATATTTTCTAGGAAATCACAACTGTACAATACAGAAGCCAGAGCCTAGCCTTCAGGAATTAAAAACAATTTCTGGGAAAAGAACTCTGAAGGACAATGCTTGTCAGATTTGTAGACGGCAAGAACTCCAATGAGTCTCTAACATGAAGGTTTTACTTGCAATTTTACAACCAAACTTTACACAATCAGTACAAAGGATAGAAATATCATCAAACTGAGACTAAAGGTGGACAAATGGGGGAAAATGGGCATATCGCTGGGATACAATTTCATAAAATAGATTCATTCCACTGTGGCATGAAAAATACACTAGGATGGTTTTAAGGAGGCACAGGAATAAGACAGTTGGTTCTGACAGTCTAAAGAAACATTGGTTCAAGATTTCCACAGTACAGCTACCAATTGCTGCTCTGGCCCTCAGAATTATTAACTTATTAACTAATTAATATTTTTTTGGCCAAAGATTTCCATGGCACCAGAGAGTAAAATGTCAGAATCCAGTTTTGAAAGTTTAAAACAACTTTGAAAAAAATGCTTTTTTTGTTTTAGGCCCAAGTAACATCTTCAGGTTTAATTGTCCTTTTAGCTAGATAGCCACAGTGGGATTTTATTTTCCATATTTAGTCTGGGGTTCCCAACTTAAGAAAATTGTGATTTCTGCAAAAGCCCTTTAATTCAGGACTATGTTACAGACAATTTTGTCTTTAAAACCCGTCCACTAAACAGCCCAGTAAGCACCAAAAGGATAGCAGAGACCATATAGCAATCTCTTGAACAGAATGGTTAAGGGTATGGCTGCTACAAAAGGTTCAGAAGCTGGAGGCAGCAGCCTCAGGGTGTTAATGATAAGAAGACAGGTGGAGGCTCACATGACAAAGTGGCGGGGAAGGACAGTCAGGACACACAGAATGCCCATGAAGACAATTAAAGCCATACTCATTAATTGTGGGAAGCAAATCCGTATGCCTTCACAGGCCAGGAAGGCAGTAAAGAAATGAGTGGGCTGTAAAAGACAGTTGGAGTCCTGTTGATAGTGCCAAACTGGGCAAGTAGATGCTTCATCTAAAGGCATTTAAATCCAGATTTTTGTTTAAGATAGCATGGCAAGACAAACATATTATAGGATGAATTCAGCCTGTTGGCCCCCAGTTTGATCTGCAGAAAGGAGGTATAAATAATGGTCTTTCAATGTTTAAGAACCCCTGAAATGTATCCAAGAGTTCAGATCTATCTGAGAGAAGGCGATGCCTCCCTGCTCACAATATCTTTTGGACATATACAGGCCACCTCCCAGTGTCAATTGTGCTGCTGGAACTCACTGAGGGCAAGTGTGGTTGAGCTTCAGCAATTTGTAAGATATAACACAAAGTATTGACATCATGATTCGTGATCCACTTTTAAAATACAGAAACTAAAGTTTGGCCTTACAGCGATGTCACTCAAAGGAAGAAGAAGAGTGAGGAAGAAGTAAAACATAATTCTTTGTATTAGGAGACTGGCCTTAGTATGAAGACTTGTGTGTCTTTCATTGTGTTTTAAGAGAATAAGGTTACAAATCATTGCTCAGGCCAAGAATAACCAGGTATAGAGATATTGTGGCAGCTGGTCTTGGTTCTATAATTGTCTACTTAGACATGTATTTTCAGTGTCTTTATTTTTATTTTAAAGCATTTAGAAGACAATATTGTTTTATAATCAGACAGGGATACAGCAGAGGAGACTTCAACAACACAATACCCATAGCTGTTGAGTTGGTTTCTAATGATTGCCATCCTATAGGCAGAAATGAACTACTTCATAGGGTTTCTAAGGCTGTAATCTTTACAGAAACAGACTGCCACTTCTTTCTTCTATGGAGTGGCTGGTGGGTTCAAACCACAAAGATTTAGTTTGGCAGTTGAGTGCTTAGTCACTGTACCACCAGGATGCTTTTCAACAATATTGGTACTATTTATTTACTCTTAAGCTGAGTGGTAGGAACATAGATATCTATTGTATTATTTTATATATTTTATATTAAGTACACTTTATATATGTATAAAACAATATTTTATATACTTTTTGTGCTTTAAAGAATCATAGTAAAATTTCACTAACTAAAAATCATCTTGTTTTCAGTGCTGATAGTTCTGTGCTCTGTGAAAGCTCCAGTAAGGAAGGATTCAGGAAGGGCAGGCAAGCAGGATTAAAGGGACAAACATCTCTCCATTTAATCTTATTCCATTTTGTTGCCAACTAGAACCTTGATATTAACAAGAATAAAGAGGTAATTCATATTGCAGTTTGATTGTATTGACTTAAAATAACCAAGGATAATTTGAGCAACACCATACACACACTCAAGTTCCATTTGAAAATTTTATGTAATAGCAAACCAAAGCTTCTAAAAACAACAGTTAGCAAACAAAATAAAATATGATTGTTTCTTTGAAGAGAAGGAAGCCTTGTAATGCACTATCAATTATGATAAGCATATCAACTTTTAGCTAACATTTTATCACCTGGTGGCCGGTTTGAAAATTCTGGCAGCTTAGGGCCTGAGTTGTCCAAGTTAATTCCTTGTTCTCCAGGCAATGGTGGTTGATCGGCCTCTTCCAGACCAGCTGGGCGAGTATCTGCAGGGCTAAAAAAACAGTAACACATTTGAGAGTAAGTTGTATAGTATACGCATGAAACTGGTTGAACTCCTCCCTCATTTCAGAAGAACTAGAACTTATTATCACCATTCCCATTATTCCCATCTCTCTGGGCTGAGTAAAATATTCAACATTTAGCAGGAAAATAAACAATTTTCCCATAATCAACAACCCCCTGGATATATGAAGACCTGACAGTGATTTAGGGCTCTCAATGTAATAGAATCGCACTGTCTGCGTGTGTAGTTATGGAACCGTCCATGATTTCCTGCTTGTGGGTATTATGATGGTGGCTTCAATAAATCTGTAACACCGGCAAGAGATCGTGTAGGTTGGTTGCTGGAAACATTACTGAGAGAGAATAAAAAAGGCTAGAACACGCTAAGACAAAGATAATTAACTTAGCTATACAATGAATACTTGCACACATCCCCGTTAGCTCTGGAATACTTTCATTTTGGACTATGTGTAGTTCAGAATCTTTAGTGTATAGTGGCTGTATAAGGGCGAGGGTTGTAGGGAAGAATTTATGTTCAATGAAGAAAATGTGCCCACCTTTATCTACATTTCTAAGAATTAGAGTTCTCATATCCCATATTTTGAGTGTAATCTCATTTCTAACTATACATTTCTGTTCTACACCTTTAGTTTTCCTTTGCCCTGCTACAGATAATCTACTTTTAGATACCACTTTTCCATTTGTTCTGTGTAGTTTTATAACCATCTGAAATCCCATTTTCAAAGCCCCCAAGCACATGAAAAAGTTTAGAATCTGAAGCAGATTCTTAGCACATCCAGATTCCTACAGAAATTTGCTCTTTATATGAGTTCTCTGTCACCTCAAGTTAGGCAAGTATTCTAGGGCATTCTTTAAACAACCAGAACAGCTAGGAAATCTGGGCGAAATGGTCTAGGCACCTCATGCAACGGTGAGGAAACAAAGGCCCAAATGAGCCCAAAGTTCATTAGTGGTAGAGTTGGGAACAGGTATAGTTCCTTTCTAAGAAGCCCTGAAACTATAGTATAGGACCCTTTCCCCAATTTATAGACCCAACAAGTAAGCAATCTCCCCTAGGACTAGTGAAGACAGCAAAAATGCATACTAGTGAAAACTAACTTTGCAATTTTACTCTGGGACTAAAGGGACAAAACAGTTACTCCCACAAAAATGTTATTCCCATATGGATAGCAGTAAAAGATTCAACTGAGAGTTATCATTAAATTAGATAATTAATGGGCTTATTTAGTTGGAATTCAAGAAAATGTAAGTTAATATACAACTGTTAGTTTTTAGTGAATGATTCAAACAATGGCAAGTAAGGATATTAGAGCAGTCAAAGAAAATATGGGAAGGCTAAGAGAAAAGTACACTTACTCCTCACTAATCAACATGGTGAGGTTCCAAAGACCAGGTGGTTATGCAAAAATTGGTGCTAAGGGAAAATGGAGGATGAGTACATCTGATCATAAAATGGAGGGTGACTATATCTTTACATATTTGCCAAATTATATCATTATATAACTGCCAAATCACTGAGAATCATGGCCTCGCTAACCTTAACCCAGCTGACATAAAACTTTAACCATCCCAGGCCAGTGTTACTCTTGTTTCACATTTAAACATGTGTTACTGCCATGCATTCGTTGGTGCCTGTCATTAATGCACAAAACTGGAGGATCGTCTTTTACTCTTGTCATCAGGTATAGTTGTTTTTATTTTGGCCATTTAAGGTAGTTTAAATAAAGCTCCCCTTTTCTATAGCTGCAATTTATTTTAACTCATGTTTTATGTGATTAGTTTCTAATCCCTGTTAATGTCTATGAATTTCAGTTTTAGGATTAATAGCAGAAAATTCAGTTCAATCAATATTCCTACTGGAAGCATTTTATCAAAGCCAAAAGAGCATGATTTAAATTAACACTCAGCTCCAGGAAATAAAATAGAAATTTGTTCATTGCCTTTCCTGCTGTTATCTTGCCAAACAACTCACCTAGAGAACTTTTATTCAAAGAGTAACTGATTTAGAGTAACTGATTTAAAAGGTCTAGTCATTTTAGCATAGGGTTGTAAGCTTCTAGGGATGTTAAAGAGCCTTCTTCAAAGGAAAGATGCCCGTAGGGGAGCAGGGGGACACTTTTATTTGAGAGAGAGCAGAGTTCACCTTAGCCAATTTTCACTTCCAAAACACAGTTAGCCTCTCTGGTTCCCCAAAAGCCATTAATTTTAAGTCTAAAGCTGAATGTCTGGTGGAGCTGCATGCAGTGCATTAACACTTATTTTCATGCTCTGAATGCCATAATCCCTTTGGAATCGGGAAACATATTAGTCAACTGCAATGTATGAACCTTGTTTGAATCCTTACTTGAGCAAACTATGAAACAAGAATTATTTAAGACAATCAAGGAAATTTGAACACAGTTGGGATATTTGAGAATAGTAAGAAAGTACAGTAAAATCTGTAAATGCTGGAACCTGGAAAGGTAGATAACTGTCAGAGGAGGAAAACGCAATTGTTTTCTATGAATAGAAAGAGACAGATGATAAGATTGCACTCTGTCAGAGGCCCAAACTTGCAAGTCTCAGAAGAACAAGGCAGTCCTGTCCAGTTCCAGCGCTCACAGGTCACTGTGCTAGTTTTTCTGAGTGTGCTAACAACACATCTATTTACAATGTAAATGTCCTCAAAATAATTCATAGGACAGTGGGGGTGGTGGGGGTGGGTGGGAGTGTAGATAAGGGCAAGATAGGCTATAAATTGATCATTGTTGAAACAGATGGATTTCATTATATTACTCTAATTTTAGGCATGTTCAAAATTAACCAACAAAAAAGTTGTTCACACAGAAACAGATGAGTAAGATTTGAGGCAAAACTATCATAACCTACTTTAGATCTTGCTGACTATTTTTCTTCTTCCGAGGGGGTTTCTTCTTCTTCGGTTTATTTACGTTGGCATTATTCTGCTTGTTATTTACCCCAAAATGTCCTGCAGAGATGTCACTTTGCAATAAGTTGACCAACAATGGGCTTGTTAGCGTGACATCCTTATTGACCGGGAAGCCTGGATTCTGACCACAGGGCATCTGATTTCCATTGGGTGCTCCACTGAAAGGTGCATTGAAAGGCATTCCATGGCCTGAGAAATGGTTTCCCGAGGCACTGTTTCCCTGCATGGCCTGTACATGGGGGGGGACCATGTTGCTTTGTTGCATGCTAACGTCAGGTATCATCTGAGACAAGCTGACGTCATTATTTGCTGTGGTTGCTGGATCACCATGCGGCTGGGCCATGTGTGGGCTGGGCCCTGGTGTCCGTAGGACCTGCCCCTGAATCCCCATAACCTGAGATGGGCTACTGTTCACAGGCCCTTGCTGGGGCAGCATTTGTCCTGACATCTGTCCCGTAAACTGCACCATGTTTCCTTGCATGTTTGGAGTTGGTCCCCTCATTATCTGTGCTGGTCCCGGCATGACATTAGATTGGTTCTGAGTGTTAAACTGCTGCTTATTCCCCTGCATCTGATTGGTCATGATCTGCTCTATCATTGGGTTCTGTTGTAGCAAAACCTGCCCCTGTGGCCCCATGATCTGGTTATGTGGCGCCATCATTTGTGGGCTCTGCTGGGGAAGCATCTGCTTAGGTGGGGTCATCCTTTGTGGCGAGGGCCCAAGATTTTGGCTCTGAGGGTTCACCATCATCTGTCCCTGTGGCATAAGCTGGGCCCTCGAGATGATCATAGGATTCTGAGGGTTCAAAGTTCCTTGTGGCTGGACCATCTGGCCCTGGGAGGGCACAATCTGCTGGTGCATGCCCATCAGCTGAGATGGTGGGCCCTGTTGGGGCTGGCCTTGCATGCTGCCCAGGTTCACCTGAGGAACCCCAGAACTACCAGCCTGCTGGTTGTTCATGTTGCCATGAATTCCCATGAGGCTGGGTTGAATCATATTTGGTGGCCCGTGGGACACCTGCATCTGGTTTTGAGGAGGACCGGATCCTTGACCACCTTAAAACAAACAAACAACAAACAGTTTCAGAAAGAAATATTATTTTCTTATTTGGTGTGTTATTAAGATACTCAAATTACCTTGATTAGAAAGATACCCACCACACAAATAAAGCTGCAGTGTTTAACATACTTTCTATGGATTTCTTAATTGGCTTTGTGACTATTATCTAATTGCTCATATTCTCAAGGACCATGCAATAAGAATGGGAAAGTTTCTTTATTCCTATTTGGTAAATTAAAGATATTTTCACAGCAATAAAGTGTACTGTCTTTTAGATTTACAAAAGGGAAACATAGCATCTTATTGTTTTAAAATGACTTGTGACTATCTCACAATAAAGAAAATTAATTAAAAATACCAAAGGTGACTGGTTCATAGCAACCTGACAGGACATAGTATAATTGCTTCCTAGGGTTTCCAGTCTTTGCTTGGGGCACTGCCTCAACTTACTCCTGAGGAGGTGCTGGTGGATGCAAACTGGTGGTCTTGTAGTTATCAGCAGCCCCCTACACCATGTATGTAGGAGTCGATGGCAGCTGAGTGATACAGCTGAGAGATGGATTAAGTAGTGAACTAAGCTTTGCTTAGTTGCGCCAAGGAAACAAAAAAATGTGATGTTCCTTCTTAGGAAACCCATGACAATGAAGAGGACCCATTTAAACTCTTCTTTGGAAAACTAATGATTCTCAAAGGTTATGTGTAAAATATCTGGATGATGCACTTTAATGAAAGGAATATCTAATGCTTCCTAAGGATAGATCTCTGCCACGGATGTAGTAAAAATTACTCAATCTTGATCAGGAAGCTGAGCTTTTGGTAGGAGTCAGCTGAGACAACTCATCCAGAAGCTTACAGACAAGAGGATTACCACTAAGAAATGCTAAACTTCGGTCACCCTCTCTTGTGGCAGTCTCTGGTGAGTCACACGGGACATGCTTATTCTTCTCAGTTATTTTAAGTTAAACAAAGGACACTGCCTGCTGCCTAGCTGTGGTGTTCACTTATTGTTCTATGGCTAGGTGCATTCTCTCTCCCTTTTACTGGATAACCTCTAGTTTATCTTTTTCACTTACAAATGGGGACTAGAAGTTACAATGAAGTTATGAGGTCATCTAGGTAGGCAAGGGATAAATGGTTCCTTGTACACACTGTACAAACTTTTCTATATCCCCAAGGAATGTTTTAAAAACAAATCTTATAAATTATTAAACTTGAACTTCATGACAACTATTTAAAAGTACTTATCTCAGTGCATATTCATTCAATTCATTTATGCATTTATTGGATAACCAATATACTCAAGACATTCTTTGATGCTAAATTAATAGCAATAAACATATAGACTAAATCTCCTGCTCCCTTGAAGGTTACAGCCTATTCAGCAAGAGCTACAATAAACATAACACTTTTTTAGGAAGAGGTAAAAGCTAAGAAGAGAAATAAAATAGGGCAAGAGTACAGAAAATGACAAAGATCAAAGCTACTTTCGATAGGATAAATGAGGGAAGTCAAAACATGTGCATATGAAACGTACTGTGTAAAATACAAATTAGCTGTGCTAAGATGGAGAAATGATGAATGATTTTATCACTGTTCTGAAATAGCCAACAAAAACAAAACAAAACAAAACAAAAAACATGGATTCATATAACACAGGAAGTTAGTGTTTGCACTTATAGATAAGGAATGGTAAGTAGCTTCCCCTACCCTTCTTTAAACTATGTCCTTCAAGAGACAGTTTGATAAAACAAAAATTTTAAGTCTTTTCTTAATTCTTAGTCATAAACAAAGTGTGAACCACATAAGTACATTAGCTTCAAGTAGAGTTTGTGAGTTCAAAAATTACTTGAACAAATTCAATCCAAATTGAGAGGAGAAAGAGCACAAGGCACCTAAGCAACCAGAAACAAAGCTTGGGCTTATTAAAGGTTATACTCACTCAAAAAAACTCACTGCACTGGAGTCAAGGCTGACTCATAGCGACCTTCTGTGGGTTTCCAGACTGTAACTATTTGCAGGAGTAAAAGTCCAGTCTTTCAACTGAGGAGCTGCTGGTGATTATGAGTTGCTGACCATGCAGACTGCAGCCCAATGCATAACCACTATACCATCAGGCTCCATTACTATAGGTTAATGCTTTACATACAGCTTTTAGCTATTCTGCTCCATCCTATCCCCATTCCAACATTTCTTCTATGTAGTACACTGCCGGTATGATATTCAATTTGAATAAGGCTATCAAGTGTTGCATATTTTTAAAGTTGTATCTGTACAAAAATGCCCAGTGCCTCCATGCTTTCCTGTTCTAGAAGTGTTTTTGCCTACTGCCTGAGGAAGTTCTAACTCAAAGGTTAGAAAACAATGACCTGTGGGTCAAATTAAGCCCAATGCCTTTTTATTTAAAAAGTGTTTGGAACCCTGCATGCTCATTTGTTTAAGAATGTTCTATTGCTGCTTTTGCACTAAAACAGCAGGGCTGAGGAGTTGCAAGAGTCTGTGTAACCAGTGAACTCTAAAATATTTACTAACTGGTCCTTTACAAAGCAAGCGACCATAGCGGACTGGTTAAAGCGCTTGGCTGTTAACCAAAGGTAAGCAGTCGGAGGAATCCATCAGCTCCTCCATGGGAGAATGAGGTGGCAAAGAAGGAGTTTGGTTTTGGCCCTTTAAAAAAATTGCGGTTCCTTGTTTTCACTTGCTTCACCCCCTTCTTTTAGTTGTGTTCAGATTTCCGAGACATTTTACCAACTTTCAATATATCACTTACTGACCTGGAAAAATATTTATAGGTTTGAAGCTAAGATGAGGGCCTAGAACTGAACCTTATACTCCCCTGCAGCCGATCAGGGTATCTATCTACCACACAATACTTATAAAGGCTGGTTGAACAAATGGCAGTAGACAAACCTGCATGCTGGACATTTTGATTTGTTTGCAGCTGAGGGGCTCCTGAATTTCCAGGGGTGGTTGCTGTGGTCGAAGGCACCTGACCTTGCATAAAGTTCGGATTGGCCTGTCCTGCTGAGAAGCCAGGTGGGAGGCGTTTAGGCATTCCTTAATAGAAAACAATGAGTAAGGCAGTTACCTAGCAAATTTACACTCTTGCTTAGATGTGGAATGAATAAGGAAGGATGAGCTGCATGAAGTCTCCACTGGCTTAGCTCTCTGTCACACTGGTAGGATCTTTAATAATAAGGTTGGGAAAGATGGTTAAAAAAATCAACACAATCTCTTACATGAGCATTGTCAAAATGAAAAAGAAACACTGAAAAATTTACTCAGAACATGCCAAGGAAAAGATGGCAATCTGCTCCCTAAATGTGATCTGAGGCCATGCCACAGCAAGGTTTAAGGGCTCACTTTTCTCTGTAATACAATGGACCCCAAAACTTCTCATACTTTAACACAGCCACCAAAAGAACTTACTAAATTCTCTCATAGTCAACTAGCTAAACAAAGAGCTGGGTCCTGTTATTAAGGGTAGATACATGGTTTTTCTTTGGAAGGAAATGGAAGACAATATCTTCTACAGAGTCCTGCCCCTTTCCCCCCAATATTGTGCTTGTCTCTTTGGAATAGCTAGGAGATGAGAAACAATTCATAGGAGCTTCAAGGTGAGGCTATACTGAATTTATCATTATGCCTTACCCTCCTAAGGTTGTCTGGGATTCTGACAGCTATGGTACCAAAAACCATGCTCTAAAGAAATCTTATAATGTATTACTGCCTTTTAGAGGAAGGCCTAATTTTAGAAAACCAATTCGCCATCAGGAGAATCTCAGACCCACTCACTGCCTGTAACACAGGCCTTGATGTGGCCAGATCACCTAGGTGAGCACATCATCTGCTCTGTGAAAGCATCAAGACCTTAAGCTCACATAAAACTTTCTTCTATTAGTCCATTCCTTTACAATTCTTTAAGGGCTCAATTTTCAATGCCCTGAAAAACACATTTTATAGACAAATATGCAATTTGTCTTTAGCAGCGACAGGTCCCCATTTGCATGCTTCCATTGTAATTAAGTCAGTAATCACATTTGCAGGAAGGACGACCCAGCTTCCACTGAGCCAGGGCGAGATGCCAAGAACAGTGCAGTTTGGAGCTGAAACAGACTTGTTTTTGCTAAAAAACATGTTAGGATTCAAATATTAGCACCTGCATGTCAGCAAAATTAATTACAAGAGAGTGAAAGACTGATGAGCAACTTAATTTCACCAGAGACCATGGGAACATGCCTTTGCTATGTTGCAATAGAGATGCAAGGGGTATTTCTGGGTAGGCAATGGGTGTCTTTTGGTGGGGGTATGCTTATCAGATGACAATATTACTGAGACTCTATATTCTCTACTGAAAAGCTCCAAGCACATTCATGTGCACTAGATCAATGATTAATAAGAATAAATAATAAATATGGAGATGGATAAGTTTTACTGTAATCGTTTTACCTCTCACACATTAAGCTCCATTGCTTTTTCTTCATACAAGAGGCACCTTACAAAATAAATAAATAAATCTCCTTTAGGTATAACTGGTGGAATTCCCTCTCTAAGGAGCAGGCATCGGCATTATAAAATTATATATATCAAGATTTCTGAACTTACTCCCCTTTAATACTTTAACAAAATCTAACAAATACCATGCGTATTACTTTGTTAGCTAGGATAATAAAAATTGGTAACTAGAAGGGTCTTTTTTTTTGCAAGAAGACCCTGTGCTTATCTTTTCATTTTTCCTCTATTGCATAATCTTACTTTTTTCAACAACTGACCAGTTTAAGTTGTTAATAAATGCATGTTTCTTACATACATTCAAAGTCCATAGTTTAAGATCAAGCAGAAATATTTTAGAAAACAAAAAGACATCTCTATATTAAATTTTACCTGCCTTTTAATCCAGAGGGCTAGCTTAAATTTTATCAATAAGATGCTATATAATGCATCAAGTTAACTGTTATATTCAGTATCACCAGCATATCCACAAAACCACTTGATTACATCCTTCTTTCACTCCCCTCCATTAACTCAAAAGCTTGAAATTCTGCTAAGCTCGTATATATCCAGCAAATTTACCAACGCAACTAGCTTCAGTGTTCCTCACCTCCTAGGCCTGGATGTAAACTTTGGGGTCCCTGGTTTGGTGGTTGCTGCTGCATCACCATGAAGTTAGGTGGCACGTTTCCCTGTTGAACCATAGGATTCCGACTTGGAGAACTGACAGGCTGCTGAAATCCCTGGGGAAGTGGGTTGTTTTGAGGTGGCCTTGGTCCCATCTGCTGCTGAGTTTGGTTAACCGTTGGGGAAGATGCAGGAGATGCCTGCTGAAAGGAGGAGGGTGAGGAAGCAGGAGACTTATTGGTGAGGTGGGGCTGCTGCAGGGGAGTCGGGACCCTGGAGGGCCCTCCCTGCAAGCTCTTCATTTGAGGAGCTGTGAATTGGCCTGGGGTGCTCATCTGAGGAAAGTTTGTATGGGCTTGTGAGGCTTGTTGGCTGCCAAAGGGATATGGAGGGGGAGGATGGGAAGGTGTCTGTAACGTGGCTAAGGATGGTCTGGCCTGCAGCTGCTGTTGCATTGGGCCAGGCAGAGGAGCCTTCTTCCATCCTTGGTTTGCAGTCATTGTTCCTAGAGAACCCTGGGCTGGAGGAGGCTGAAGGGCTCCAGAAGGCAGCTGGTTCCAGCCTGGAGGAACAGGCACCTGAGTTGGGGCAGTAAATGGGGGTCGAATTCCCTGTGGCTGCTGCTGCTGATGTTGCTGTGGCGGTCTTGCCTGCAACTGTTGCTGCTGCTGCGGCTGCTGCTGTTGTTGCTGCTGCTGTTGCTGCTGCTGCAGTTGAGGAAAATTAGCAGGGTTCATCTGTCTGTTTACAGGAACAGACTGCATTGGGTGGTGTGGAGGAGCTAAGGATCCTGAGGGATGACTTTGTTGTTGTACATGCAGGCCGGAGAGGAGTGGATCCATTGCATCTGTATTGTAACAACAGTCAACAAAAGCAAGAATTAACTTACTACAACCTAGAACCTAGAGCAACGGTCTTCAAAATTCTGCATATACAGAATAAAACCTGATATTTGTTGTTAGGTGCTGTTCAGTCAATTCCAACTCTTAGCAATCCCACGTGACTGCCCCATAGGATTTTCTAAGCTATCATCTTTATGGGAGCAGACTGCTAGGTCTTACTCCCATGGAACCACCTGATGAGACTGAGCAGTCAATTTTTGGATGACTCACCCAGTGCTTCACTGTTGTACCACCCGCTAAAGAACAAACCAAACCAAACCAAACCAAACCCTATTGTCACCAAGCTGATTCCAAGTGACTTTAGCCCTAGGCTACCAACATTTTCTGGTACCATCCAATTAGCATGAGCCTCTCCGATGTGCACAGCAATGTGCCAAGATGATGGAAAGATGAATCCTGGCTTTTAAGGGCTTATGGTTCAAAAGCGGCCATAAAAACCAAACAAAATAAATGCATAATTAAAAAAAAATTTAGAGAGTGGTATTTTCCAACGCATATTCTGAGAAACCATGCCAATTTGTGTGTTAAGAAAAACAAAAATAGTCCAATTAAAAAAAAGTTCTAAAATTGATTGTGGTAAGGATTGTACAACTCTTGATATGACTGAACTATTGAATTGGGTGATAGGTGGATGAAGTATAAATAAAACTGTTAAAAAAAATTAAGCAGTACACATGGAGCCATGAAAAAAATATATACAAGCAATATTATTTCAGTACTTCCAATACATTAATCTAGAATCTCCAAAAGGTGTGCGGAGAGCACTGCATTTCCCAAACGTACTTGACGATGGCGTTCTTTGTTATGGAGTATTTCCCAGGATAAATATGGTAAGATACACACTTTGGGGCATGTTGGGAACAGATTGGAGTAATTCTGAGAAGGGTATGATGACTCTTAGCTTGAAGAAATCAGGGTAGATTTGGTAAGGGTGGCGTTTAAGTAAGGTAGTTAGGAATTCAGCAACAGAAACAGCTAGGTTTTGTAATGATCCATGTAAGGAGCTCCAACCTCTTCAATCCTCAAAGACTGGCGGTCATTACCTGATTGAGAAGCAGGGCGAGGAGTCCTGGGCTGCAGCTCTGGATTGGGACCTGGTGCCATCATGGAAGATGACACATTTCCACCTTGGGGTATCATAAGAGTAGCAGGGTTGGTCATCCTTATTAGTCCTATAGGGGGAAAAAACACCTAGAATAGAGTACTGGACTTAGCACAATTTTTATTTTTAGTGAAATATTTCAATATGTAAAGTACGGAAATTTTTTTACACTCAACATAATTTTGTTTAAACCTAAACATCTTGCCCTTATAGACCTTCCTCTTTCCCAATTCATCCAATCCTTTCCTCCGTATTTTATAATTGGGTTATTATCTATTTTACATATAAACCCCACAGCCATCTAGTCAATTCCAACTCATAGAGGCTCTATAAAGGGGGAGAAGAACTGTACGTTAGGATTTGAAAGTGTAAATCTTTATAGGAGCAAAGCATACTCTTTCTCCCATGGAGTGACTGGTGGGCTTAAACCCACGACCTTGTGGTTAGCAGCCCAGTGCTTATATCACAGTGCCACCATTGGGCTAGTTACCACAAGTTCAGCAATTCAAACCCACGAGGAACTCCCTGGGTGAAAGATGAAGCTATCTCCCCCTGTAGAGATTTACATTATCAGAAACTCTATATAGGATCCCTCTGATAGAATATATAAGTAAATGGCATAGCATTTGGGGTAAAGTTTTAATCTTCATTTAAGTGGCATATGTACTCTTTTTCACTTTCTTCAGTTAATATTTATGAGAATCATCCATGGAAATACATGCATCTTGATTGCTCTAAGACATCCACTCTCCTGCTGATGAATCATTAAGGTTTCATCTTAACTTTTCACTTGTACAGTTTTGCAATGTCATGTATTCTTGTGGATATGTTACATTATCTTTAGACTATACTGATAGATGCAGACCAACCCTATGAGTAGAACTACCCCCATAGGATTTGCTAGGTTGTAAACTTAAAAAAATTTTTTTTAATTAAATACTTTTTATTGGGGGCTCTTACATCTCTTATCACAATCCACACAACCATCCGTCGTGTCAAGCACATTTGTACACATGCTGCCATCATCATTTTCATAGCATTTTCTTTCTGCTTGAGCCCTTGATATCAGCTCATTTTTTCCCTACCATCCCACCCCACCCTCCCTAATGAACTCTTGTTAAGTTATAGATTATTTTTTCATATCTTAATTCTTCCTCTGTCACCCTTCACCCACTTTTCCATTGTTTGTCCCCCTGGGAGGGAGTTGCATTCAATCCTTGTGATTGATTCCCTGTCTCCTCCCACTTTCCCCTAATCCTCCTGATATCTCTATTCTCAATTGTTGTTCCTGAGGGCTTTATCTATCCTGAATTCCGTGTTTTGGGCTCTTATCTTTAGCAGTGTGCATGTTCTGGTCTAATACGATTTGTAAGGTAGAATTGAGGTCATGATAGTCGGGGGAAGGAAGCATTAAGGAACTAGAGGAAAGTTGTGTGTTTCATCGGTGCTATACTACACCCTGACTGGCTCCTCTCTTCCTTGTGACCCTTCTGTAAGGGGATGTCCAATTGTCTAGGGGTGGGCTTTGGGTCTCTACTTCGCGCTCCCCTTTATGTACATTGATATGATTTTTTGTTCTGGGTCTTTGATGCCTGATACCTGATCCCATCTACACCTCAGGATCACACAGGCTGGTGTGCTTCTTCCATGTGGGCTTTGTTGCTTCTGAGCTAGATGGCTGCTTGTTTACCTTCAAGCCTTTAAGACCCCAAACGCTATGCTTTTTGATTAGCCATATGGTACGCTGTAAACTTCATGGAAGCAGATCACTAGCTTTTTCTCCTACAAAGCCACTGGGTCGGTTTGAACCACCAACCTTTGCTTTAGTACTATTTTAACGGTTGAGCTATCAGGGCTCCTTCCAAAAGTAAATACCAATTTATACTCTACCTAGCAGTTTGAGAATTACTCTTGCATCATAGCTTTCTAATTCTGGATACTGTTATGCTTTTAAATATTTGGCTTCTATGGTCCTAAATGAAACTAGCCTATAATAATCTTCCTGTCCTTTGATTTTTTAACATCAAAATGAACATGGATAACAAATTAATTACAAAGCATCTTTCTTCTTTTTCTATGCCCTGAAAGAATATATGTATAGGTTCTTTAAATGTTCAGTAAAACTCACCTGTGAAATCCTGTGGACCTGTGAGTTCTATTACTCAGCTGAGAAGTCAAAAAACGACACTAACAGCCATGGAGTGGATTTCGACCCCAAGGTACCCTAGAGGGAAGGGTACAGCTGCTTGCCCCGTGGGTTTCTGTGACTAAATCTAACGGGAATAGAAAGCCTCATCTTTCTCCCAAAGAGTGACATTGTGTTTACAGCCCAAAATATAACCACTACACCACTAGGGCTCCACCAACTGATTGATGAGGAACATAATTTTAATTACATAAATTTCCTATTTGTTACAAAGTTTTCATTTTTTCATGTAAGTCAGTTTATAAATTACTAAATTATATCTTCTAGAAAATTGTTAATTTTTCCCTAGTTTGAAAATTCAACATTCACAGTATACCCTTTCCTCCATTCTACTTTTAGTGAAATATAATTCACATATCAAAAAGCCATCCTTTCCCACGAGGTGTAGAAGGGACCAGTTATCAGACATCAGAGAACTAAAAATCATATCAGTGGGTGCCCACCTTCCTGATACAATCACTG